TTGGCTTTTTCTGCCCTGCGCCCCGTTTAATAGGGTGGCAACCCAAACACCAGGCCCCACCCCGGACGGGGGGGGGGGAGGGGGCAACAGGGGGAGCTGAAGTCCACTCATCTTAAAGTGGCCAAGTTTGGACAACACTACTATACCAAAAGTGGAACGGTGATAAAAGGTTGCAAGGCAGAATACGCCTCTCGCCTCTTCTGGTTTCCAACACCCTTCTCTGGGATATTCGTTCCACATTCTTCCCAATGTTCAATTTATCTTTCCGTAGATTTTATTTATTTGTTTAGTCGTTTAGCCACCCGTCTCACATGCGTGACTCTGGGCAGCTCGCACAATGAAAAATGAAAAACAATAAAGAGTTGCAAATAAACTGAAATGAAATGAAAATCATTAAAAACCAATTAAAACAGTTTAAAACTTAATTAGCGGGAGAGTATTTTATTTATTCAAGATATTTATCGCCCGGGTGCATGATGCATGTAAAAAGGGGTGGGGCTTCAATCACACGGTTGTGGCCACCCTCTTGACTTTTCTGACCGCCTTGCAGACCCCCCCCCCCCATTGCTTTGTAGCTCCTAAGGCTGGGTCTTTCCTCCATGCCGTTTCTGGCAGTTCCTCCCTTTGTCATTTTGTCATGATGTCTTATTGCAGGTTTTAGCATTGTTCTAAAGGTCTGCTAGGTTTTATTAATTTTATGTCTCTTGCGTCTATGTTTTTAATGCTTTATACTCAGTTTTTATTATATTTATTTTAAATGTACTGCCATCCTGCAAAACTCACACTGAAGCGCAGCTAAGAAATAGACCAATGAGAACTCTTTGAGTTCTGTGGTTTTACGTATCAGGACATAATAAAAATCATCTGGTCCTTCGCAGTTCTCAAAAGTAGATAAATACAACCTCAGGTGAACAACAGCACACGACATACTACACCATGTCATCATTTATTTTACAGAAAGGAAGCTAGGACCACATTTCGTAAGAAAAGGTTCGATGTTTTCATCACATCTAACACATGTCATCCAGTTAAACCGAAGTTGGAAGCGTCGGGGATGAAATTTAC